AATTAAAAGAGTTTAATGCAATTACCCTAAGTATGCTGCGCAGTCTGCGCTGAGTAACACATTGATGCAGCACCAGGAAGTTCACGTCAACACTTCAGCCTTAGACAAAAGGTGCCAGCATTCAGACCCCAAACAACTGTTTATGTTTTTAGTGACCAACATTCAGGACAGTAAAGGCATGGCTACGTCACTGTGCAAAGGTGTTTTCCTTAACATTTGTCACATTGTAACCACAAACTTAAGTGTATTTTATATGAATTATAAGTGATTACTAAGAGAGTAGTGGATCAGTGAATTTCAGAAAAATTGTATGAGGATTTTCAAAACGATTTTTAAATGGACATTTGAAAATATGGCCTCCAACAAACTCCAGTAAGGCTGAAGCGGTTAATCAGATTAATTGTGATGAATTGATCATCAAAATAATGCTCAACTAATTCAGTAATCAATTCATCATCAACTGGGGTGCAGAATACAAAACAAGACCATTTGCTGAAAGAACAACATAGAGACCAGTAATTAAGTCAAAACTGTACAAAAAATACATATATTTTGCATTTATTATTTTAAAAAAAAACTTTGTAAACTGTTCGATCCAAAACTGAAGTGGCATACTTTTAGTTTAACCCAGTTTAAATTCTGTAAAATAAGAAAACAAAATCATATTAAGTACATTTTGCTATCTAACTATTAATAAGTTAATCAGAAAAAATAGCTATGCCATGCTCTACATTAATGCTAAGTCAAGCAGAAAGGGCTGAGCTTTTCACATGTTGATGTTAAAAGTATTTTCTTAACTGCAGATGCAACCTTTCCTGCAAATGATCAAGTGTTCACTATGTTATAACGTTTTAGGCAATAAAATATTTATCTTCTTATTTAAAAAAAAAAACTCAATTATTTGTTTATGTGCATCTTTTCATGTACATTTAAAATTGCATAAAATGTGCAGAATGTGCAGATATGTTGTCAGATTAACTGATTAATCATCAGAATAATTATTTACTAAAGTAATCAATAGTTGCAACCCTAAACTCCAGTACAACTAATTTCTATTGAGAACTATCTAATCAGTGAATAGTGCGAACATTAGTGAACACTTAGCATTAAGTCAGGGATAAATCTGTAGAAACTCTTAAAGATTAGGTTAGAAAACAATATTCTTTATCCAGCCATTAGCAAAAAATGGAAAGACAATGGCACAAAAACAAAAAGCTTTCAGGACATGGCCATCACCCAAACTGACAGTCCAGAGTAGAGAGTCTTTGTTGAGTTGAAGGGAAAAGAAAAGATGCTAACACAAAGCAAACTTGGACGGAAACTTGTTAAGACGCTGCAGAAGTCTTATTCCTGGGGTGAAGGTTGACAACAATCCTAAACATACAAACAAAGCTGCAATCAAATGCCTTAGATCAAAACACATTGGTGGATTTCAATGCCTCACACAAAGTCCAGAATGGAATCAAAGTAGGAATGCGTGGCAAAAGACTAAAAGTTGCTGCCGTAAGATATCGTCTAACTAAGGGGCTTTAGCTAATTTCTAAAGAAGGTGGCACAAAAATGTCAGTCCTGACATGCTGATGTGCCAACAAGGTGGCTTTACAAAGGTTTGACTGCAAATGCCCATCTCAGTTTTTGATCAATATGTAATTTTTCAAAAAATATATATTGCATAATTAATGCACTGGATGTTAGGTAGCATTTTCCTACATGCTCTTTAAGTTATTCATGCTAAAAACAGGTATAAACAATTATGAAACTTCAAGCAATTGTTCACCAAGCTGATTTTTATGAGTTTATTTTTAAGGGAACATCTGCAGGACAAAATGAAACTGCCTCCATCACATCTGCTGCTAATCCCTTTGTTGTTGTTTTTCTTGTTCTTTAACACAAACATGTCCCAAAGTAATACGTTAAATATGGTTGCAATTTTTTTTTAAATCCTCTCCTCCCCTGTTCAAATTCACACAGCGGTCTGTGCACAGGCAGCATGTGGACTAATGGGAGATAAATGACTCAACAGTTAAGGTAAACCTCTCTTACCACTCGTAGCAAGTATTTGGATGTGAAAACCCGCATCAAACGTAGATATTTCGCTGGAGACGTCTCACTCTGCCCACAGCTAAACAAAAAAATTTCAAAGCTTACATCCACAAGCTTGAGAATAAAAGTTTCCAGAAGGCAGACTAAATCTGATATGATAACTAATTCTGTATTCCGCCCTCCCTAAACCAGGTTCAAGTCTAGACTGTGTGTAAGCAATTAATTACGCATCAGTGCCAAAGAGACTAGATTATTTTCTGGTTGATTACTTTTTTTTTGATGAGTTGCAAAAAAAAAACTATGCGATTGTTTTTTGTATGAATGTAAAGTATTCATAATACTTTTGTCACGTTACAACCACAAACATCAAAGTAAAGGTTTCTTTGCAGAACATCCCTGTACTATATCTTCCCCTCAACTCTGATTAGTTTCGTGTTATCTGCTGAAGCAAACCTCCCCAAATTTGCCTATTGGCCAAGACTGTGTGCCCAAGCAAGAAATTTGACTTTGGTTTTCAATGTGCCCAGGATGTGTGGGGTGTGCCCTTTTCCTAACCTGTGCAGGTCCTGAACGGAGTGAAAGCCAGCCATGATTATCCTCCCTGCAGACCTAATCAGACTTATTAGGACCCAATAGAAATTCTTATGCTGCTCTTTTTCTTCCCACAACTTGACCTTTTGACATACTCCCCCACCTGAGCTACAGATATGCGCAGTTCTCCCACTGTTACTAGTAATTAACTTAAAAACACAGGCAGTCTGTGTTTGAAGAAATATAGCTACACTTGGTTGATTTAGAACAGTAAAAAATAAAAGGCTGAATACAAACAAAATATTCATTTGGAAAACATTTCTGAAAACCATGCAATATTCTCCTTCCACTTCATATGTATGTGCTACTGTTGGATGGCTTATTTCGAGCCAGTAAACTAAAGTGTGAGGTTGTAACGTGACAAAATATTTTCTTTTGCAATGCACTGTGTGCACACAACAGTAGACGGACAAAAGCAATGCTCCAACAAAGAGGCATGTCACAGCTTCGTTCCAGCACAGGTTCAGGTTGGGTTTGCTTTGAAGGAAAGATCACTGATTAACTAAGCAAGCATATCTGAAGTGTTAACAGTGGAATGATCAGACAGCATTTCGAGAGGAACAGTGCCGGTGGCTGTCTCCTCTTCAGTCATCCCACAGCCTACCTGAGCAGACTGGAGAGCGAATGGGAGGAAGCTCCGTGGCTGCTCCCGCTGCTGTTGCCGCTTCCTGCGCTCCCAGACGATCCGCCTGCGGATTGTCGCTTGCCGGGTAAAAGCTTCTCCACCGCGGCCAGATTCCCCGTGCGCGCCGCGTCCAGAAGCTCCTGCTCCTTCCCCATCGCTAATCCCAGGGGGTGGGGGAATAAAACAGGAGGCGCTGGGAAAAGATCGGGAAAGACAGAGGGACAGGGAGAGGGGGGTTGGTTGTAGGGAATGAAATTTCTCTGCGACCCTCTCTTTCTTTCTCCCAGCCCTCAAATTATTCCTCAGAGCTGCAAATGTGGCGAGGGAACAAAAGCTTCCCCCCGGCCGCCCTGCTGGACCCTTCCGTCCCGATCCGCGGCTCCGCTGGCGCTCAAGAGGGGGAAAAGTTTCGTTCAGCCGCACGGCACCATTATCGAGCAAACTTCCTCTGACCAGTCTTCCGAGCGTCGTCCGTCACTTCCTCGAAACTACCCTTTCTTTCTTCATCTCCAATGAAACCCTTCAGACGCTCACAAATGCCGCACCAGCCACCGCCGCCCCTCGCTGCTTCATATACAATAGGGATGATAAAAGGAAGATGGCGCCCGGTGAAACGTTTCCTGCGCCAGGAAACGTCAGGTCTCGCTCGACTTACAGGATGGGATTGTTCCCATCCACTAACTTGTAGATCTGCTTTTTCCTGTGACCCGTTGGGGCAAGAGCAAATTTCCAAACCTAACAATGAGCTTTATCGGTCCGATCGTTATTGTTAGGAGACTTATCATCATACAAAACAAAATGTAAAATTTAAATAACAATTTTTTTAAATAACAACAAAGTTACCTAAACAACAGTAGTCATAGAAATTAGAAGAAAATTTGAATATATTGTCATATTCCTATTCGGTCAATGTTCATAAGGATATAAATTTAAGCTGTAGTATAGTATCAGCACATTTATTAATAGTGTCAGTAATGATGTTCTGACAGTGAGCAAGATGCTGCTTCCTGGTATCATATGTAAGGAAATAAAATTTTCCCTACAATGAAAACTTATGTAAATAAGCACAGTAGCTAGACTTAAACAGACACCAAACTTTTATAGAACATAGGTAAAAATATTTAATTAATATTTAATTATTAAGTTATAATGTTTCTTTTCAAACTTTTGGGTCATATTTTAAGTAAACAAATTCTTGCGATGTGCTCATTGTGTCTTGCAAAGAAACATTAAAATAACTTATTCTATTCAGAGATAATAGAATAGCCCATATATGCCCATGCTCATAGTGATAGCTGTTGAGACTTTGTATTCACCCACATCATATTAAATGTTATACAAATTAGCATTAGTACAATAAAGTTTGATTTAAAAAAAACAAGAAGTCACACTTAAATGTATGTGTGTGTGTCTCAAACATTTTTGGTTAAAATCTCTCTGTTCATTCTGTGAAGCTATTTCTATGGTATTCTATTGTATTCTAATAACACAAAAATTTAATTTTCATGATGAAGGGATTCATAACCATTTTTTGGTTTTGTATGAAGTACATCTACTGAGAGGTGAAGAAAAGGGTGTTTCTTTAAGATTTGGTGGGAGCTTTTGAAATCCAAAAGCAAAACGTGTTTCTGCACACAAATACCCCCTATAAATTTTTTTCGTTAATGGAGAAAGCAAGTGACACTCCAATCCGCGTGGTGGCGGTAATGCACCCAGTGCGTAGTTCTTAAACATCATTTCACTGAAAATAAAGCTAAGAGGAAGCGCATTAGCAGGAGGTAGCTGAGAACTTGCACAATCTTTCTACAGTTTGTTACTTTTAATGCGGTCGTTATTTCACAACTGATTTAACAAATTGAGTTTCTGTGCGTCAAAGCAGCGTTTTTCTTTAGTCAAGTGTTAGCAGCATCAGCTATCTAACGACACCGTGTGTTCGACAGCAAACGGTTAGCTCATTGACTAGCTTTTAAGCGAATGTTTACCAGATCAAGTTCTGTTTGAGAGTTTTTATTAAACATAAAACAAGCTACGGGTTCAGTTTATCAGTGCACTGTTTCCTCTGTATCAGTGCAGACTGTTAGACCGTAAAGAGCAGCTGTGTTGGGAGAATCTGAGGAGTCATGGCGGACCCTGCACGGATAAAAACAGAAGGTTCATTTGAAAAAGAGGGCTTTATCAACGAGGAGAACCCGAAGAACGAACATGAGTCTGTTCCGGAGACTTCTGCAGATGACAGCAAAGAACCGCCTACGCAGGATCATCTCAAAGATTTGAAGACTGTAAGTGAATTTACTTTTTAAAAAAAGTTTCTAAAACGTCAACAAGTCGAGTAGCAGTAAAACATGCTTTACATAGTGATGAACCAAAGTGATTTAAATGATATCCCTGACAGAAAAGTTGCAGATATGAATTGAGAGGTTTAGATCCCACATAAAAGAGGCAAATGATAAATGTCTATATGCCACTGATATCTGAGAATCGTATGAGATTGACGCCTACCACATTTAGTGCCAATAATGGTTTGAACACAAATCTCAAGTTTTATCCCCAGGAAACATATTTTTGAAATGATACGGGATGGCTTGAACAAAGGAGATGTATCCTTAAAGATTCTCATAGAAAGCTCCTGTCTTATCCTAACATTTTCTACTAAGAGTGGTTCAGCCAGCTGCTGAAAGCGACTCTCAGCAAGGAGATGACAGAAATTCTGTGTTAGTGAGGAGTTGTGGTTGAACCTGTTGAGCCTTTCCGTGATTGAATACTCCTACTAAAGGATTAAGTAAAAATTAACTGATACTTGAATCTTGATTGGATTAAAAAGTGTCAGTGATGAAACTAAGCAAAAGTAAATAGTCACACAGCTTTAACATGTTCAAATGCACCAAAGTGCATCTTCATTGTTTATGTTTTGTCACATTTTCTCGCCATGCCTGTGGTGATATTAAGGCGGCCGCGGAGATGTCAACAATTTACTGACTGTCTGCTTGTACACCTATATGTTTGTTTTTTTTCTGTTATTGGATTCACTACTGCATGTTTAGTAAAAGCATATATGATGATGAAAACTTGATGATTTGAAAGCTCTTTAAAAATACATGCAGGGCTCCTCATAAGGAGGGGAACCTGGGGGTTTCATATGATGTGTTCACTTCCGTAAACATGTTAAGTGAGACAGGCTCAGACTGGTTGAGGACAGCCGAGCGGGATACAGAGACAGATCGGTCATATGGATAGGGTGAAATAAATGATCTGACCAAACTAACTATAAAAAAGGAAGTTGTTACAAATACCACTGGAGATTAAACCCAAAGGTTATAGAAGTTCACATAGATGACTTTGGTGAAATTGAGTTCCTGACAACACAAAACTAACATTTGTTCAGTTTTGAATATTTTAAATAAGAGTTAAGTGCCTGCATTGCAGTGGAAATTGGTTTTAAAAGTAAAGTGCAGAAATGTGGATTACAATCTACAGAAAATATTAATACCTTTGTAATATTGTTGATATGTCAACTATCTGATTTCACTAATGTTTTTTTGCCCAACATGTTTTTTGTTGCACTCTGAAGGAAACTGAAGCAGTGGCAGCAGCAGACGATGAGGAAGAGGGAACCTCCGGTCAGCCTTCCTCTAAGCGACTCAAAGTGGAGCCAGAAAAGAAAAAAGAGAAGCGCCACAAGGTCGACGAGGATGAAATACAGAAGATGCAGTAAGGCTGTCACGGAAGATCACTTCTCTCTTTACAAACTTCACTGAAAGTGTCCTTTTTGATCCAACTTTCCCTCCTGCATTATTTAGGGTTTTGGTGTCATCGTTTTCTGAAGAGCAGCTCAATCGCTATGAGATGTACAGACGTTCCGCTTTCCCAAAGGCTGCCATTAAGAGGGTGAGCTGGTTATTAAAACTGACATATTTATTTCAAAACTTCAAACTGGAGTTTCTTATGGCTGCTTTATAATTTCCATATTTCAGCTGATCCAGTCCATAACCGGGTCATCAGTTTCCCAGAATGTGGTTATTGCCATGTCTGGCATCGCCAAAGTTTTCGTCGGGGAGATTGTTGAGGAAGGTGAGAGGATGGTTTACCAAACAATCCTAAAGCACACAATAGTTTTTTTTTTTTTGTTTGTTTTTTTAAATAGACTATTCTGTGTTATTTTTCTTTTTCAGCTCTGGATGTTTGTGAGAAGTGGGGAGACACGCCACCACTTCAGCCTAAACACCTGAGGGAAGCAGTTAGGAGGCTGAAGAGTCGAGATCAGATTCCCAACTCCAAATACAAGCACATCCTGTTTCACTGAGCCTCTCAAGCTGCGCGATGAATGAGGACATTCGTGATATTTAAAACCGTTGTGGGAAAATCTCTGATTCATCCAGAGGCTGCTCACAATTATTGATGGAGCCCAGTGTCTGTAAGGGTACATTGCTGGAAGGCTCTATGTATTAATTTAAATACTTATTGAAACATGTAAATATAAGTTTTATATCTTTTTCTTTTACTACTTTTTGGTTAATATGTGGGTGGTAAGTTCAACCGCCAACAAATATTTGCAGCCCCTGAACTTTTTCGCATTGTCATGTTACAAGCCAAACTGAATTTGAGTAATTTTTAGAATTTTATTAGTTTATGATAGATTAACACTTAGGTGGTAATTGTCAATTAAAAAAAAAATATATATATATATACATATATATATATTTAACAAATTTGGAAGTGTGCATACATTTGTAGAATGGAGTTTGAATAAGTCTATTCTTAAACAAGAATATGGTTTTAATTAAACTAGGACCATCAAACTCCAGTCGTCCTGTCTTAACATTTTTAGATGAGGCCTTAGTGCAAGTGTGCCCATTGCATGATAGTGCCACCACCATGTTTCACCGTGAGTTCAGGATGATGTACAGTGTTAATTGTCCTCCATGTTTTTGCTTATGGTTTTATTTTGGTTGCAACTTAAACTGCATTTTGTAAAGTTGAATTGAAACATGCAGCAGATACTGCAAGAAAAGACAATAAATTCACTTCAAAAATGTTTTAGTAATTTATTTAGTCTCATCAACATTCTCTCATTGGTTCACAGAACCAGTTTTACATTAGTCTTGATGGAGTGATGAGTACCATAAAGCCATTGTATTTTTACACAAATGACAAAAACCATACTGTCCAGTTTTTCTGCACCACTTTAAACATTTCCACAATGACCTGTATGCATTCTTTTTGAAGTGATTCACATCAAAACGAGTGTGAGTTCCTGTGAATTGACTTCACCAGTGCAAGTAATTCACAAGGCATAAATTTCACACACAAAAAAGTAAAATAAATCACTTCAGCACATGCATCCCGGGTTGAGAAAATGCCTGTAACTCTACTTTTCAGCTTCTCCTCTTTGCATGGCACAGTGAGTGAGTTACATTGTCATGGAAATCACTGGCCTGCTGTGGACTGTAAAGGAAGTCTAGTGTAAGTTTTAGTGGAAATTTGACTCAAACTCTCCAGTTTTAACAGAGATGCTACTTAATACTAAGGTTTTACAGAGGAACTACAGGAAACTTCGAAGCTACATGTTGCATCCAGCATAGAACATCTTTGTCCATTAAGGCCATGCAGAAACTAAAACAGCAAACGGTAATAAAAAGATCACATGTATTGAGGTAAATGGGCAGTATATCTGCTTTAGTACACCAATATATTGAGGCTTATTCTGGAGTCTGCATGCAGATGAGTATAGAACACAAATTTCTGAAAATGTGCACTGAAAAATATGCAGCATTTCTTTTCTTCGACGGGTTTCATGTAAAACTGATGTCTTCCTATTGTTTAGATAGACAACAGTGGTCTTTAGAGAAGATCTGTCTGCTGTACAGCTAAATTTTAAAATATTACTGAAAAGTTTATTTCAGTAACTCAGTTCAAAAACTGAAAGTAGCATAGATATATCAAGAGTATGTTTCTGTTGATCTTGATGATGCAGAAATATGGTCGTACGACTGATCCAAGGTTCTTTTTTCAGATGAAAATACTTTTTTCCATTTCATTCGGAATCCAAGCTACTTAAAGTAACATTTTGTCAGTCTTTGGGTTTTTATCAAACCCAAAATCAGAGCAGCTGTCTATTATGACATCTTGAAGTACTTTGTTCTCTCTCTCTTTAGATGTTTTTTTTCACTTTCTAAAGTGAATTGCTGAAATAAAGTTTTAATTAATATTCTACTGTAACTTCCAGTGTAACTTTGCTGAAATATTTTAAACGGACACGTTTAAAATGACACGTTTCTGCCACCAGAGGTCTCCCAGGTACCTTTACACCGCTACAAATTAGAGCCAAAAGAAGAAAAAAAACAATAGGACTTTCACTAAAAGAAAATCCCCGATTCAGCAAAACAAATGTTGGCTTCTTTTTCCTAAATATATCCACTTTCAAATTCATTCCTGTCCAAGATTTTCTGCAGGAAATAAAATTGGCAACAAATCCAAATCAAAAGAGCGACTATTCCAGTTATTTAATCTTTCATGTCATCAGTACCACCTTTTAAAATATTTTTTTAAAATAAAAACATAAAAAAACACTAAAAAAATGAAAAATAAATATAGTCAAGTAAAATAACACAAAGACATGTAAGTTCACCAATGTAGCACATGTTTCGTCAGTTGTTTCCTGGCAAGCTACAAAGCTATGGTAAGGAGACATAATCACAAACCTCTCCACAACAGATGATTAAACTGAGTAAATTTTCTCCAAATGTGAGGAAGGCATGCTGTCTTCAGTAGATGTTCACCCTCAGAGGACATTAGTCATCACAGTATAAAAGAAATACATAAAATAAAATAACACTGGGAGATAATCCAACCTGCTCCATCAGAACAGCTTGGTATGAGTGTGTATTATTCCCACTTGGTGATACACAGAGAAAAATGTGGAAACTGAGATGCTTCAAGCTTTCCATGAAAGAAGTGGAAGCTTACTTTATAAATAAAGTGCATTTTTTTCACCTACCTTTCACAAAGCTGTTTAAATTGACACTTCAAAATAAAATTAAACTTTTTTTTTTTTGCTATCTTACACCAAACAAATAACGACACAAATCCAGCACTAAAACTGTCAATAAAAAAATGTGCTACATTTTTTTCTATTGAATTAGCACTGCTAATTAAGCATGCAGTATAAGAGAAGGGACTGATGAACTAGCAGCTGAATGGCAGTGTCTGTGCAACAATTCCATACCGCACAGTAATAAGTGGAAAAAGTTTGGCTTCTTTAAAGCCAAACTTTCAAAGCTTGATCATGTTGCATGCTTTGTTTCACACTAAAACCTCACAATGATTTCCCACCACCCTGACTTGTTTGAGATAAAAACCAGAGTAAATCTATTAAGCGTATCGGGAATGAATATCTAAACTGCCAGAAATAAAAAAGAACCATTGTGTACCTAAAAATGAACTCAACAGGCCTTGGCTTTCTAGTAACAGCTACAGGGGATTTGTTTGCAATCTCCTGGACTGTGTGTGCCAGTTGAAGGTGATATGAAGCCACAGTTTGGATTCACGGCTCATTTTCCTGGATTTATCTTTAGAGATGATTTAATTGAGCTCTGCTCTGTTCTCAGCCCCAGAGGTTAGAGGTCAGCATCTAAAGAGGATTAGAGCGTAAAAGTGGGGTCGTACTTCCTTACTTCCTGGAGGAGGCGCTCTCTTTCAGTCAGGGCCTGTGTGAGGGCAGCCTGAGTGTCCCAGAGTTGGCTCTCCAGCGTTTGACTCTGCAAAAGCAACATTATTCTAGTTAAATAATATAGCTGGTATTTTGACACAAAGCTGCACAGTGTGTGGATTTAAATGTAACGGGTGTGAAAATAAAACCATTAACGACTTCCATGAGGACACAAACCTTTTCAAATGTAAAAAAGATAAAGTAGAAGTAGAAGAAAAGTTTGAATGTTTTTGAAAATTTTTCCATTGTGTGGATAAAAAATCTAAAAGTTCTCCAAATGTGAGGAAGGCCTGTGAAATGGCCAACTATTTTAATTTAATACTAAATTCCCTTTGAAGCATTGATTTTATTTGAATTTGGATCATTATAAAATAGGATAAAGCTGTGTCATAGGCTGGCTGACAGGCTTGTCTAACACCAGTAAAACAAAATGACAGATCAAACACTGGCCATGTGCTCAATGCTTTGGTAAATATTTCAGCAAGGGAGGAGAAATTTATCTTTTAATAATCAACTCTTCTATGGGAAACAGCTTCTTCAACAGAATTTCAGTCAATTTTACGGAGAATGTAAACATAATCCAAATCAGTTTGTAAGTAGCATCACCTAAATACAAAAGCTACTTCTACTTTATTGAGATAAAAGTTTGTTTTATCCAATTTCACTCGAGCAAACTATTTAAAATGTTTGTTTTTTCCTCCTTACCTTATTTTGCTGTTGGACAGAGTCAGCGCCATTAAAAGTGTCAAAGTTGGCAGCAGGAACACCTGCTAAAGGTTTAGTGTTTGCACCCTCAGCTGAAATTAGAAAAAGATCATGAGTTTTCGATTCATCTTTCGGTGAAGGTGTGACTGCAGATGTATTTTGTGTTCTCTGTGCTTTTCAGATTATTATTTAATAAACCTCTACTGTTTTCTCCACCTTTGATTCTCATAATTCCATCATCACTTCGCTGGAGCAGCAGCTGATCTATAATGAATTTGGCAGGGACGGGTTGGGGAGCAGTAGGGTAGATTCTGGGACCATCGTCCTAAAGAAAACATATCTTAAATCATTAACCTATATACTAACGCTGGACACAAAAAGTTGTGATGTTTCTTTTGAGGGATAAATTCTTCTTCTGAGGATCATCGACTTACCTTTAAAATTACAGTGACGTTGGACAAGTGTAATCTTATTGGCTGACCATCTACACTGAACTCATCTTCAAGGAAAGGGCCAATGTTGGTTACTGTTGAGGCTAAAAACTCTGCCTGGCAGTCCTGCAGTCTCACATCCAGAAAACCCAGTGACTCATCCAGAGCAGAGCGCTGAGCCACAGATGGGCCCATTTCCGCCCTCAACAAGAGAGCCGGAGAGGTCCTGCAACCCTGCCTGTCCTGCCTCTGAGATGGTTCACCTGCAGCTGCACAAAGATGAGGATAATTTATCTGTAGCCTATTTATATAGCAAAACATGAGCATCATTTTAGTTTATTCAAGGTTAAATGCATCCTCTTCACCATAATGTTGCATGAGATCATGCACTTCTTTTGACAAGAATAAAAATGCTAAAATAGAAGAAAATCCAAATGTCTTATCAGTTATCTTTAACACTCATAGCATAATTTAAATCCAATTGATATTAAACCTGTTGTGACACACATATCAATTAATCATTGAAGACTCATAAACTATTCAAATTACCTGTAGAAGATTAGCAAACAGAGAAATAATAATGACAAAAACGCATAAGAAAAGAATAAGGTTGATCTTTTCACAAGGTTTTTTTACCGAGTTCAAAAATAAAGGTATTAAGAGCCAATTTAAAAGAAAATTCCAATGAAAGTCTTTTTTTAACATTTAAATGACACATTTTAGGCATAATTTTGAGGAAAGCCATGATAATTCAGGTTACCTTGTACGAGACCAGCCAGGATGTCCGATTGTCGGACATTTCCCAGCTGCACTGGGGTTAAATTCTGCGCTTGAACAGCAACTACTTGGTCTTCTCCTTGTACCTCCATGGTACATGCTGTCCCACTCAGGATCAGAAGTAACACTGAGGACTGTAATTCACCTCATTAGAAGTCATATTAACCTCTTAAACATTTAAATTTGATTATTTTCTTTCATAATTTTGAAGCATGTGCCTGTGGAAAACTTCCCATCAAAACTCAGCCTGAGCATTGATGTCATAAATGTTGTAATTTTGCAAAAATGATTCATTTGAACTGTTGGTTTTTCCAGTATGCAAAGATAATACCACAACTTCAGCAGTTCTTACAAACTTGACACACAAGTTAGATTTCCTTTTGAGGATTTTTCACAAAGTTAAAATTATATA